GCTTCACCCAGCAGCCAGAGTGATGGAAAATCTTTATAATAGTATCTAGGATATTCAGTAAGGTTTTGTTGAATGAATGGAGGTCCAAATTCTCTCTGAAGTGACATACAAAGTCTGTTCCTACTTCCCAGCCTCATTTCCTGTCTTGCAATTTAGGTTCTAGCTAGCAAGTGCAAGAACAGAGCTCACAACGGGACTTCTGATTCCAAGTTTGAGTGCTCTTTCAACTACAGCCCAGCTGCTTCCCTTTTGGCCTCATTTTGCAGAAGTCCTAAACACCTACTTTGGAGCATTTGGAAGTAGTCCCAAAGGAGGCAAGAGGACAGAAAATATGCTCTTCCCTTGTCATTTCCCACGAGGGTATGCTGTGATGTTGGATTTGCAAGGGGAGGAAGGGGATAGATTCTTTACAGGTGTAAAGCATGGAAGAATTTCAGACCATAATTACTGCATTCGTTCATTCATTTACATTCACTTGCTCAAGAGATGTTTACTTTGTGCCAGTCTCTGAAGGTATGATGTGGGTTCTACTGCCTTCAGGAGTATTGCTGGATGGTGACAGAAGCTTTTGATACAGTAGAAAGTGCAAAGGGATGAGCCAGAGGAACATGGCCTTGGTGGTGGTGGGGAAAGAATGTCTCCCATGTCCAGGGAGAATGGCCAAAGAGCTGTTCCAGGATGTGTCCTGACCTACTGCAGTACCACGATAATGGGACATCACAAGACCGTGGACAGAGAGGGAGTCCTGAGTATGAAGCAAACATTATTGTTTTAGCTCCTCAATTCTTGCTGTAACCACATCTTAGAGTAACAATGATCCCCATTTCCCTGGATATCTTGGATGTGGCCAAGTCAACCTTCTTAGCCATGCCAAAGATAGGTGAGAGATAAACTTCCCTGGAAAAATGATATTGTATGGAATGGAACATGTCCACTGAGAGACAAGTTGCCTAGGCTTCTCCTTGGTCTGAATTTCTTCCTATAAGTTCCTAGCTCTTCACTGGTGACTCACTCATGTGCCCCCCCCCAAGGAAGGTCTTTTATCCAGAACCCTAGAACTTCTTGGACAGTATATGAAAACCACTTTATATACCAGACAACTGTTGTAAACATTGTTGGTGGAGAAGGGTTCACACAGCCGTTGGCCTGGGAGGACTAGGGCAGGCAGCAGGGACCAAGGCTGCCAAATTTAGTGGGTGGATGAATGCCTGTACTGTGACCCTCTGCCTTCTCCCCCAGGGGCTGGCCTCCTATCTGCCCCTCCCCTTGGCCCCCACCCTTTCTGGGCAGGGCCGTACCAGACCAAGAAGACATTGCCTCAGGGGCTCATAACCTGAGTGAGACAGTCCAATTATCTTCAATTTATGGAGCTCAGTTGGAGGGAGTTCAGAAAAGAACAACCTGAACAATTAAGGGACTGGAGGGCTCAGCTTCTGGGGCAAGATAAAAGGCAGGAGGTCTGAGGCAGCAGTAGTGGTTTCAGGGGGAGTGGTGACTATGGGGGAGGACCCACAGGCATGTCTGCCAGCAAGTGAGCATTGAAGGGGTCCAACACCTGGGAAGAAGAGGGTGGAACGAGCAGGAACAAGGCAAGAGATGTGAGCCCCCAGGAAGGGTAGGAAAGAAGCTCAGAGCTCAGACCCACTTTTTGGGAGTCAAGCCATGTTGAGTAAGAAATTCTGGCTTTCCTAGCCCAGGCCCTGGCTTGAGGGAATCTCAGGAAGCCCCAGAAAACAGGGCAAGCAGGAGGGTGGTGCCTCTGACAGAAAGAAGTCTAGACTTGGGCTTTGTTGAAAGCTTAAGGCCCCGTAAGAAAGTCCTATGTTGGAGAAAATGGTGGTTTGCTGGGCTGATTGAGCTCCAAGTTATCCTGGGATATCTGGGATTCCAGCCATGTTAGAATCCCAAAGGAGAGAATGCCCCTAACTCAACTCAATTCTTTTTTTTTTTAATAGAGGTCCTGGGAATTGAACCTAGGACCTCATACATGCTAAGCCTGCACTGTACCACTGAGTTATGCCCTCCCCACTCCAAATCAGTTCTTAATTCAGATTTCATATTCAATACTTAAGAAGTATAGTGGGCACAGCCTAGTACGGGTTGGCAGAGGTCCCTGCTTCTAGACCAGATTCTACTTCTGCCAGGCTTTGTGACCTTAGGTTAAGTCTTTTCCTTTCTTTGGGTCTGTTTCCTCTTCTGCCAAACAAGAACCTTTTCAAGCAGCTGAACTCTCCCCCGTTTCATGAAATGTCACACAGAACCCTACCACAGAAAACAGATAAATGCAGTGCTTTGTGAACAGAAGTGTGTTTATTGAGTTAAAATTTATCTCATTTACCTTATTATAAAGTAAATCCATCAGAATTATAGGCTGATTTTCATTAAATTAATAATTTGAAATGAAGGGTTACAGCTCTCAGTTGCGTCTGACATCTGCCAACACATCCAATGTTTGCAGAATGTCTGAAGGTCCTCTCTAAAGCCTGAGGCCCCCACACAACTCTAGGCAAACATCATCACCTCAGTTATATCCCCAGATTCTTCCCAACTCAGACTTTTTTAGAATCTAGACTATGTGTCTCTAGGGGGCAACTGCTCTATCTCCTTTACCCTGTCTCCTCAGGACCTTTACACCTGGCCCAGGGCTTCACACAGTTTCATTTTTTTAATTAAAAAAATAATTTAAACAAATCAAGATATAGTTGATTTACAATGTTGTGTTAGTTTCTAGTGTACAGCAAAGTGATTCAGTTATATATATATATTCTTTTTCATACTATTTTTCATGATAGGTGATTACAAGTTATTGAATGTAGTACCCTGTGCTATATAATAGGTTCAGATTGTTTATCTATTTTACATACACACACACACACACACACACACACACTAGTTTGTATCTACTAATCCGAAACTCTTAATTTATCCCTTTCCCTTCTTTCCCTTTTGGTAACCATAGTTGTTTTCTATGTCTGAGTCTGTTTTTGTTTTGTAAATAAGTTCGTTTGTATCGTTTTTTTAGATTCCACATAAGTGATACCATATGTTCATTTTTTGCTGTGTGACTTACTTCATTTAGTATGATAATCTCTAGGTCCATCCTTGTTGCTGCAAGTAGCATTATTTTATTATTTTTTATGGCTGAGTAGTATTCCATTGTATAAATATACCACAACTTCTTTATCTAGTCATCTGTTGATGGACATTTAGGTTGTTTCCTTATCTTGGCTATTGTAAATAGTGCTGCTGTGAACACTGGGGTGCATGCATTTTTTTGAATTAGAATTCCTTCTGGATATATGACCAGGAGTGGATTGCTGGATCATATGGTAAGTCTATTTTTAGTTTTTTAAGGAATCTCCATACTGTTCTTCATAGTGGTTGCACTAAATTACATTCCCACCAACAGTGTAGGAGGGTTCCCTTTTCCACACAGAGTTAAAAAACAAAGAGGAAAAAGAAAGAAGTCTGCTGGATTGAAGGGGACTTTGGTCATGTAAAGGAGGGGGGCCTTGGTCAGGAGGGTGACCTACTCAGATTCAGGGGCTCTGCCCACTCAGATCTCCCTGCCAGGTGACTGGGAGACACACAATTAGAGAAAGAGGGTTTAAGTCCCCTGGTCTTTTGGTGCATTGCTCTTGCCAACCCCTTTTTGCTTTAGCCAAAATCCCCAGAAGGCTTCACTTCTAGGTACCAAGGAGGCAACCCAAACCTAGACTTTGTAGAGGCTGAGTCAAGCCAAGCTTACCAGAGTAGAAGAGGCAGCCTGGGCAGACAGGAGCAGAGTGAAACTGACTTAAGTACACTTGGATGTGGAATAATGATGGAAGTAGTGACTTTGCCGAGTAGTTTACTAAGCAAGGATTTGGGTATTATAGGTGCCATGTTTTCTGTGCAACCCTCTAGGATTTCAGGTATCTCTTGAGAGACTGGAATTAGTTTTGTCTGTTTGTTATTGATTTTCCTTTTGTATCTACTGCAGAATTTCTTAAAATGAGATTTTTTTTATTAGCTTCATGGCATAAACTCAAAAGGAACATAAAGGCATACAGTGAAAAAAGTATGTCTCTTTCCTTCCCCAGTCCCATAATTCCTTTCCCCAGAGATGACCATGGTCACGTTTCTTGACATAACCTTCCATGGATATTTTATGCCTATACTATATTCATATATTCATCCAGAGATATTCTATACAAATACAAGCAAATATATATGTTTCTATTTCCCATCCCCCCCACAGAAATAGAAGCATTCCGTCCACACTTCTCTTCATGTTCTTTTAACTGCTGCATAGTATTCCATTGTATGTATGCCTCAAACTTTTTTTAAGCAGTCCTTTATTGATGACAAGTGGGTTCCTTATAATCATTTCTAGTATTCACAATACTATCCTTGCTGCAATAACTATTCTTTAACATATGTAATTTGGCAGAGGTGTAAGTATATCTCCCAGCAGAGTCCTTGAGCCAGATTTTAAATCCAACTGTAAGGCTTCAGGAGGGAATGCTCTGGAATGTCGCTGCTTAATTTTGCCTCCCTTTCTCGCTTTGCTGCTTTCCTTGACTTTCAAGCTACTGCAACTAAGTGCCATTCTGGGTCATTAAAAAGAAAGCAGCAAAGGCCTGGTAGGGGTCCAACACCCACTAGCTAGCAATTCCTACTTGGGGACCTTTTTTTGCCCCTTGAACAATTTAAGTAGTGGCCAGATGACAGACTGGATTTAGAAACCAGGCAGACAATGGAAACCCATGAAGTAAGCTATGTGTAAGAGGATGCATGGCCACAGACATCTAGCTTCAGTGTCAGGGCCCAGATAGGGAGTCGTAGGGGTGGGGATGAGCTGAAGCAAGCACGCTCTGTCTGAAGAGGGCAGATTCAGTTCTGGCTGGCAATGGGGGCCCAGTACTGTCAGAACTGCTGAATTATTTTTGACTTAAATTTTTTTTCAATTTTTATTTTTTAAATGGGGGGAGGTAATTAGGTTTATTTATTTATTTTAACAGAGATACTGGGAATTGAACCCAGGACTTCATGCACACTAGGCATGTACTCTACCACTGAGCTATACCCTCCCCTCTCTTAATTTTCTTTTTAATTGAAGTATAGTTTATTTACAATGTTGTGTTAGTTTTAGGCGCACAGCATAGTGATTCAGTTACATTATAATATATTCTTTTTCATATTCTTTTTTACTATAGGCTATCATGAGATTTAAATATAGTTCCCTGTGCTATACAGTAGGTCCTTGTTGTTTATCAATTTTATATATAGTAGTTAGTATCTGCAAACCCCAAATTCCTAATTTATCCCTCCTCCCAAACTGCTGAACTTTTAGAAGATAGAAATGTAGACTTTATGTGAACTCGCCCCAATTTATATACAATAAAAATAGTAATAATAGTAATAGCGAACATCCATAGAGCACTGACCAAGTGTCAAACAATGTTTTAGGTGCTTTAGATAGCCTACCTCAAAATTCACTGTAACTCTATGAGGTAGAATGTATCTCCATTTCACAGATGAGCAAAGTGAAGCACAGAGAGTTTAAGTAACCTCCCAGGGTCACACAGAACAAGTGGCAGAGTCAGGATGCAAACCTGGGCCATGCTTTTAATGACTATACTCTGTTTTTTTCTAATTTTTAAAAATTGAAGTATAGTCAGTTGCAATGTGTCAATTTCTGGTGTATAGCATAATGTTTCAGTCATACTTATACATACATATATTTGTTTTTGTATTCTTTTTCATTATAGTTTACTATAAGGTATTGAATATAGTCCCCTGTGCTATACAGTAGGATCTTGTTGTTTATCTATTTTATATATAGTAGTTAGTATTTGCAAATCTTGAACTCCCAATTTATCCTGTCCCACCCCCTTTCCTCCTGGTGACCATAAATTTGTTTACTATGTTAATGACTATACTCTTATTTGAACTTTCTTTGTGCGTGTTTATTGTAAATATTATTTGTTTATTTAAATTGAAGTATAGTCAATTTACAATGTTGTGTTAGTTTCTGGTGTACAGTATAGTGATTCAGTTGTATATATATATTTTTTCCTTTTCCTGTTCTTTTTCATTACAGGCTATTACAAGATATTAAACACTATTGAACTAGTTCCCTGTGCTATACAGGAGGACTTTGTTGTTTATTAATTTTATATATAGTGGTTAGTATCTGAAATTTTAAACACTCTTATTAAACCTCTTGTTCAGGAAACCAAAGTCAGATTTAAGCACTTCACAGACCAACACTGCCAAGCCACACAAAATGCCTTTGGAAGCCTCTGGTTGAAACCTCAGCTTTAGAGGCTGTCTGTTGCTCTGCTAGTCCTGCAAGCCTTAATAGTGACGGAGTCCTCTTGCCATCATTCAGACCCAGGCTGGGTGTCAGCACAGCCAAGGAGCCGTGTGAAAGCCCTTTCCTGCGCCTCGGTCACAATGCCTGTGTTTTCAACCGCTCTTGAGAACAGAGTGAGGGTACAGGGCCTATTTTATGTTTTTATACAATGTCCCTCCCCCATGGAAGAGAATATTCTTATCAGTAGAGCTTGTTTGGGGGGACAGGAAGCTGTCCTTTCCCAAGAGAAGCTACCCTGAGATGAAGCCAGGGAAGATGAGCTGTCTCCTCATATCCCACTCTTCTCAGGGTTATGTTAAGGATCTCAAGCTCTTTCGTCTATCCAGCCACTTCTAAGACCGTGAATGAGCCATATCTAACTCTGGGCATGGATTTCAAGGGAGCAGGGCGGCCTGAAATTAACCATCAGTGCTTTGTTTGCCAATACATCTGCCTCTGCCAATTTTCCTGCTCACTTGTATGCTTTTTCCATGTTAATTTACATGTTTTTGTGCCAGGTTCAACAAGGCTAAATTTAATATAGGAGTCTCCAACCTTTCCTCATGAAGAGCTACCTATAGTCTTAATGTCTGTGAATATTAAGTTCCTCCAGGAAAAAAAAATACAGAAAGTGAGACTCAACAGCAGGGAGAAACCTGGTCATGCATGTCATCAACCACTTTGTGAAAGGCTGGTGTGTCCTTGTTGAGAAAAAGCCTCACGTACTAGCAGGAGGGGCATAAGGGAGTGGGCAATGTGGATGGAAAAAGGGACAGGGAGACTGCGGGAGAGCAGAACAGATGCAGGGTACAGGGGAGACCAAGACGGGGCAAAGGAATAAACATGGATATGCTCCCAGGCTCTAGGGGAGGTAGGTGCTGTGTCCTCTGCACCTCTCCAGTTGTGACAGTGTGACCACGAGTTCGAGCTGTTCAAACAGATGCCTATGGAGCCCTGTATAGAGTCCCCCAGAGCCTCCCACTGTGTTCACTTCCCATTCTGGCTCCTCTTCTACTCAGGGCAGCCTACCAGCTTTTACTCTAGACGTAAGTTGGAGGAGAGGCCAAAATAGTGAGGTCAGCGTGGAGGGTCTGGAACGCCAGCTTTCAACTTTTCCAAGCAATGGGAGCCGTTTCAGGGGCAGGATGCCAGGCCGGTGTTCCAGGAGTCTCCCAGTCCCGTGCAAGGAAGTCTGGGCTGGAGGCTGGAGGCAGGGAGGCCTGTTGTGAGTTAATGAGGAAGTGGGCAGACAAGAGCAGTGAGGATGGAGGGATCAGTTTAGGATACAGAATATACATAGAGCGAGAGATAGGCTATCTGGGCCAAGAGTTGGGGAGTAGAAGGGACCAAGGGAGGAGTCTCATGACTGGTTTCTTGCTCCAGAGAAAAGCAGGGCTATCAACACAAAAAACGGGTAAGTGGCCCCATAATGGCTCGAGTCAGGCCCCTTTCCATCAAAAGGCTGCCCCTGCATCCATGACATCCCTTTAGTTTGGGCCTGGCTTGACCCGGTGCCTTGGTGTCTCAGGGTGGGGGCCGCCGGAGCTCTTTCTCGACCCTGGAGTCCAGGGAGGCCCGAGGCCTGAACGGACTGAACAGAGAGGGCGCCTCGGGGCCCCAGCCGCCCCTGCGCCCCGCCCGGCTCCCGCCTCCAGCCCCACTTTGGCCGGGCGGGTCGGAAAGCCAAGGAGCGCCAGAGACAGGAAAGCGGGCCCCGGAGGGGGAGAGCTGGGACGGAGGTGGGTTCGGGAAGAGGACGGGGGCGGGGGCGGGAAGGGCCTCAACGCGGGGAAGTGCGGAAGAGGGAGAAAGGCGGACTAGGAAGAGCCCGCTTCACTGGCGCCGACGGACCCCCTCGCCAGGCCCGGTTCGGCGGTTGCGCCTCCGCCTCCCTGGCGCCTCCGGCCCGGGTAGGAGGAGCCACAGCGCCACCCAGCGGCCGGTGCCTGGGAATGGCGGTCAGGGCTCTTGCGTGGCCCCAGGAAGAGTGGGGGAGCTGAATGGACCAAGGCCTGGAGGCGAGCGAGTGCCAAGCTGGGGCACCTAGTGGCTAATGCACTCTTAAACGAGACCCTCCATTCACTTCACCCCACAATCTATCCGGCACGTGGCCCTAGATGAATATTCCTCTAGGTCAGCTGATAATATTCCTCTTAAGTTCAACAATCTTGCTTGGCTCCCCAGGGGCCTGGATCTAAAGTTGACATTTCCTAACTTGACCTTCAAGGCCTTCCTTGTTCTGACCTCAGGCTATCTTTCCAGCTTCATCTCTTGCCACCCACGCCACATCTTCCCATCACTCATGCCTGCTCAAGTGAACCACTCACCCTCATCAGCATCCATTCACTCAATGAACCTTTACTGACTGGGGAGATGGGGAGCAGACAGACAAAATCCTTGTTTACTCAGAGCTTGAATTCAAATAGAGGCAATGAATGAGAAAGACAACGTAGAAACACAATCATTTCCAATAGTTGCCAGCACTAGATCATATACAAACAGGGTGGCATGATAGAGTGTCTGGGGACAAGAAGGATGCTACCATACCTAGAAGAGTCAGGAAAGAGTTGCTGAGAAAGTGACAGGTGAGCTGAGATCTGATAATTAGAAGGAGCCAGCCTTGCAAAAATCTAGGGGAGGAACATTTCAAGGCTGAGGAAGGGCACGTACAAAGGTCTGGAGACAGAAACAAACTTAGTAAATCAGAGAAAAAGAAATAAAGCAGGGCAGCAGAAGGATAGTGAAGTAAATGTACTGGGTGAGTGGAGGTAGGCAAATGACAGGTCGTGTGGGGCCCCGTGGGCCGTGGTAAGTAGATGGGAAGCTACTGGAGGGTTTTAGCAGGGTAGAGACATGATCTGATTTGCATTTTAAAAAGATCTCTATGGGTAGACTATGTGTGTGTCAGAGGGCAGGGGTAAAACTGGAAGCAAGGAAGCCAGTGCAGTGGTCCAGGAGATAGTTGATGATGGCCTGGTCTGTGATGGAGATGGGAGAAATTGTCGGATTCTAGACGTATTTTTGAGAGATTTCTGTTCATTTTTTTCCCAACCAACCCAGGAGTTTCTTGAGGGCAGATTTCCTGTCTAAGTGATCTTTGGAGACCCACTCTACACCCCTAAACAGTCTAATAGGTGCTCAGTATTTAGTGAATAGATCTCTGTGACAGGAGGGACAGACAGAAACTTTGGCCCTGGGCAGAAGTTCTGAGTCTTCTTTCTAGTTACCCTGCTGCCCATCTCTCTTGTCCCTCCTTTGTCCCTCAATGTCTTCTAAAAGAATCTAAAAAATGTTTTGGAAGGGATGGAAAAGCAAGAATTATGAGTTCCTCCTCTGTGTTAGGAACTGTGCTCAATGCTATCACATATATTGCTTTATTTAATTGAATTATCTAATCTTTATAACAACATCTAACCCTATCCCTTCATTTTAGAGATAAGCAGATAAAAAACCCAAAAAGGCAAAGGGACTTTATGAAAGGCAAAATTGTCATAACACGAAATATTCACTATTCTGAGTCCTACATATAAATCCTTCTCCACATTTCACACCCTAATATTGTTTATCTATACCCATTATGCTGTCTTTTTCTGCCTCTTGTTAATTGCTAGTATTATGCAATGCAAATAAATTTCAGAGTGAAACTGCAGGTCTTGAAAAAGATTCAGGGTTTCATGAAGTCCATGAAAGTGATGTTGATGACTATCTCTAATGTCACATAAAGTCTTTGATAAATGGAATTTGGCAGTGATAGACCAGTTACCACTGGCAGAAGAGAAAATTGACCTGGGTAATGACAGGATCAAGGCTTCAAAGAGAATGATTCAACTCTCAAAGGATTACAGGAGGTCCTTGGGATAATTGAAGAAGCTCTCTAGTTTTGGAAAAACAAGACAAAACCCTGTTTATGATTGTGTGGTAAAAGTCAATATTGTGTTGTCATGCATTTCGTCAGCAAAATTGTTATTCCCCAATGCTTGATTCATTCTTTGTTCATTCTAAGAATTAGTGCGTATTTGTGATTATTTCCACATTTTCAATTTAAACAAAAATATTTTCTGCATTTTCAATTGTATTTTCCAAGATAAAGTCCCAATCAAACCCTTTCTCCCTTTCCCCCCACTCTACTGTGAAATATAAGTCCCCACTTTCAATGAACTCATTGTAAGTGGCCTTTTTCTAGCACCACTTATCCGAGAATAACAAGTACTTCATGTAGCCTCAGCCATCTCTTCATCCCGTGATTGGCAAGCCTGGCTGCACATTAGAACCTCATGTGGAGTTTGTTAAACAATAACTGAAGCTGGGACCCCAACCAAGACTAATTCAATCCGAATCGCTGCTGGTGGGACTAGAGTGGAAACTCCCCAGGTGATTTTGTTGCACGGCCAGGGTTGTGAGCCACTGCCGCCACCCCTCCTGCACATGCTGAGGCTGGAAGAGTCTGAGGCTACCTGCAGTTGGATGGACCTAAAGGGAGAGCACCAGGGCCTGGGCCCAGGGGGAAGGGGTCGCTCAGAGGAGCAGCTGTAGGGCAAAATCCAGGAGTCAAAGGGCAGCTGGTGATTGGTAGGGTCATTTCCTTGGTACAGTCACTGTGCCCTTGACTCCATTAGCACTGTGAGTGTATAGCTGTCTTTAGTCCCTTACCTTTCTTTCTTATGCTCAAGACCAAGAGAGCCTGGCTCCCTCGTGGGTATGTGGTGAGAGAAAAAGTTGAATATTATAGTAAGCATATGATGGTTGCTGATCACATGGCATCATGTTATCTTATGGATCAAAAACGTGTCTGTCTTTTTTAAAAGTTGAAGTATAGTTGATTTACAATGTGTTAGTTTCTTGTTTAGTTAGTGATAGTGATTCAGTTATACATATATATATATACATATTCCTTTTCATATTTTTTTCATTATAGGTTATTACAAGCTGTTGAATATAGTTCCTTGTGCTATACAGTAGGACTTTGTTGCTTATCTATTTTATACATAGTTATTAGTATCTGCTAATCCCAAATGCCTCATTTATCCCTCTCCACACCCGTTCCCTCCAGTAACCATAACTTTGTTTTCTATGTCTGTGAGTCTGCTTCTGTATTATAAATAAGTCCATTTGTGTCATTTTTTTAGATTCCACATATAAGGGATATCATATGATATTTGTCTTTCTCTTACTGCTGTATTCCCAACACCCAGCACAGTATTTGACTTAGAGTAATTGTTCAATAGGTTTGTTTTGAATAAATGAATGATTAAGTCAAATACAGGCAGAATGTAACAAGTACCGTGATTAAGGTACAAAGTGTTATAGAAGTACAGAAGAGGACAAGAGTTTTCAACCTTGAGAGAGAAGGGATATGGAAGTCTTCATAGCATTGGAACTGGGCATTGAAAACTAGGTAAGACAGTGATAGGCAGACATGGAGAGAGGGCAACCTGGGCAGAAGGAACTATGTGAGCAAAGGGCGGGAGGCGAGAAGGAGCAGAGCTCATTCAGTGAAACGTGGCTGGGATGGGGGTGCGTGACAGCCTGTGGGGGAAGATCAGTTGGGCAGAACACAGAGAGCCTTGGAAGTCACACTAAGAAGTTTCCACTGGATTCTACAGGCAATGTGGAGCTATCTGATGTTTCCGATCCCGGATGCAATATGTACCCTTTAGGAAGATCAGCCATGTGCAGCTAAAGATGGCAGCGGGTCTTTCACAGGATATTTACGGAGTGTGTCTTAAGTGCAGAAGGGCACTGTGCTGGGCAAGGTGGATCAGAACTGGAGTAACTGAACGAAAGATGAGATGATAGATGCTATAGTAGTCCAGGCAAAGAGCTGCTGAGGGCTTGAAGCAGCTGAGTGGGAGGCGGGTGGAAAGGAGGGAAGAATTGAACACATATTCCACAGGGAGAACTGACAGACCTTGGTGACCGTTTTAGGTAGAGGTGAAGGAAAGAGAAGAAAGACTGGGTGATCAATCACAATAATAACGATCAATATTTGACTGGCTCCTTTGTGCCAGATGTTGTGCAAAGGGCTTTATGTCTATCTACTCTCCCAATAACCCTTTTGCTAGATGAGGACACTAAGGCTCAAAGAAGTCAAGGAACTCAGGCTAAGTCATACAAGTAGAAGATGGTGGTGCTAGACTTGGAACTCAGACACTCAGGCTCCAGAGACTGTGCCCTGACTTACACGTTCTGTTGCTTTTGGGAGGCGTTGGGGGACTTGGGTTTTCCCAGCAGAGGAATTCAGCAGCTCAGTGAGGACACCAGATCCCTTCCAATTTACCCTCTCCCCTCCCCCATGGACATGGGAAAATGGCAGTGGCATATGGTTCTGTCTGCTGCCTCTTCAGTTCTCCCTGAGTGCCTTCGGGCCTGGGGTGGGAAGATGGGCCCGGTGAGGCAGGGTAGAAGAGATGAGGCTGGGAGAGTAGAAGCAAAGGCTGAAACAAAGGTGGAAAACTGCTAATCCCCAGGCCACGTGGGACCTGCAGTCACGTTTAACCTACAGAGGTATGTGCAGCTTTTTCAGACGTGAGCCAACATTTAGAAATGAAAGACTTCATAGAAAAATTCCAAGTCTTGATATCCCTTGAAAAATGAGACGACCTGGGAACATTGGGCCCACATTCCCACAAGACAACCTTGGGCTGGAGCTGCCCGTCCAGACGCCTCTGTCCCTGTGATTCTCACCAGCATTGGTGTCTGCCCTCCAACCCCACCCGGCTCACTTCCTTCACTCACTCTTTCTGCCTGATTCTCGCAGGAGGTTGAGTTTGGGCTTCCTTGTTGAGAATGGCCTACTACAGAGTTCCCCCTTTTGTTCTGAGACTTGAACCAACAAGGGGCGGGGCACAGGGTCAGCATCCTTTGGTCCTACCTCCTCCCCAAGCCACAGACTTTTTCCTTGGGCCGCTCTTGACGCCGCAGAACAAAACCATGATAGGAGGGTTATTATCAAGTCTTAACATTTATTTCTTTATGGGGTTAAACAAGAGCAGAGAGGTCTCTGCCCCACAATGCAACAAAACAGAAAGCAGTACACATACAGAGACTCTCACCGAAACACGGAGGCAGGGGAAGGGCAACAACTGAATTGTAGCCAGGTGAGGGAGGAAGGGACGGGCGACTACTAGGAATCCAGCTTGGAGACTCAGTCATAGGAACTAGTGCAAGAAAGTCCTACTTATGAAGCACAGTGTAGAAAATGGCATAAGAAAGCTGCCCAGCTTCGCTGCCTGTGACAGAGGGCAGGGGCAGCTGGAGTGGTGGTGGATGATCTGGGTGGTAGGGTGGAGGACAGTCAAATGACTTCGAGGTGGAGTGAGGTGCCCCTTTCCCCTGCCACTGGGCAAGGCCCTGGGCTGGTCTGAGCCAGGGGTCTCCTGGGCACTTGGTGAGTGGGAAGAGGGGATGGGAGTCTCCAAGGGTCCATTCCCTGGGGCCTGCAGGTCCCCCTTTACTTCCCAGTCCCTTTTCCCCTCCTGAGGATGCAGGAGTTAGAAGGCAGTACCTAGGATCTCTCACATCTACATAAGCATCTCTGGAAAGGAGCCAGCACCTCTTCCCCTCCCCAGCTGAAAAGAGCACTCTAGGGATGGGGTATGTGGCTAGGCCTGAAATGCTGAAGGCCAAACAGGGAGTCTGTGGGCAGGGCAAAGGGGCGAGGGGAGGGGTACACACTGAGAGAAAGAACACTGGCAGGGAAGGACTCCCCAGTCTCACAAAGCCTATGTGGGGACTCAGCTGAGTTCCTTGGATGATTCCCTCTCTACTAGGGAGGTCTCCCATGTATCCCCCCCACCAGCCAATTCCAGCTGCTTCCCCCTCTCCCTCTCGCTTTGCCTAAATGCAACTCCAGGCCCACCCCTCCCCTTAACTCACTGGCACCACATCCTAGAACACAGGCCCTTTCTGGCACTGAAAGCCCCTTGGCCTGTCCTGGCAACGGCTCCCTTTCTTGTCTGCTCCTATGGGCCTGTAGATATCCCAGGAGATCAGCACAAGTTTAGTGGACCCCCCGAAAGGGCTCTCTGTGCCTCCTTTCTCATCCAGCCCTCTAGCCTGACGAGAGACTGACATGACAAGTCTCTCAGCCAAGGGACAACAGACAGCACATTGTCTTTATTCAGCTGGTCCTCTTGTCAGTTTCAGGACTCTCTCCAGCAAGGGGCAGGGGTGGCTGGGTTAGGGGACCTGCTACAGGGTGAGGAGCAGTCTGGTGGTTCCACAGTTGGGATAGCAACCCATGGGGTTAGGGATCAGAAGGGATGAATACTCTTTGGTAGGCTGGGGGCAGGGACAGGCTGGGGATCAGGGAGGCTCATCTCTGGAAAGCCCTGGGGCACGGCCACCAGGATTTCCTTCATGGAGGCCTGGGCTAGGGCAAGATAGGGGAGTCTGGGGACCCAGGCCAGGCCTGACCCACTTGGGCTTAAGTCCCTCCTCCCCATGGAGATCAGAAATGGAAACGTCTTTGGCCCCAAGGCCAAGATCTCCAGGGCAAGAGCGGCCCTTGGGAGTATGTGCACCTTCTGGAAAATATGGCCCTTCAGACAGCGGCAGTCTGACCACATGCCCTCAGCCTTCTGTTTCAAGGCCCAAGAGCCCAGTCTCTGTGCTCTTTTTTCAGAGGGCTCCTTAGGCTACCCTTTCTGATTTGGGGAGCTGTCCTTGAGCCTGCCTTGACACTGATCATCTGCCTCCCCAAAGCCAAGTGGCAACAGCCCATTCAGCCATCTCTCTAAGCCCTCGGCCCACCTCTTTCCTCTCCTCTCCCTCTTCCCTGTCTCCACTCTCTCTCACCATTCGTTCTGCACCCTATTCCTAGACCTCATTGCCTAGGGTAGTGGGGCACAGCTTAAAACTGGGGCTCCGACCTAGCTGCAACTGTGTACACCTCGTGTCCCAGCCTGGCCCTTCCCTGTGGCGGCCGCATGTGGGACAAGGCGTGCTGGAGCAGGAAGGAGGGCCACTGCATCGTCTGCCGTTGCCTGTAGGGGTATGGGCAGGAGGGAATTAAGGATCGTGGCAACAAAAGGAATGCGGAGGGGGGAAAGAGCTTCTCCCCTCTGTGCCCCCCAACATTCCCTGCAGGGCAAAGGCTGGGTGAGCAGCCTCCTTCCCTGGGGTCAGGACTCTCAGTGGGGGTGGGCATTTCCAGCCCCCACCCCCTTTACCTTTTTTGGCTAACGCCCCACAGATGGGGGCCTGAGGACGGGGGCCCCTGCTGCTCTTGCCTTTTTCTCCCAGATGAGTTTTGCAGCTCCCTGAGGCCCTCTGGCGGTTCTGTGGGAGCTGCTTTTGGGGTGGGGGTTGGTTGGAGGTGATGCGTGGTCCCCCATTTCCCCCACCCCCAACCTGGTCCTACACCTCCCATGGGAGGAGCCCCTCCCCCTCCCCCTGGGGGGGCCTGGAGCTGATGTTGGTGTGTGGTGGAGGTCTGATCTCCAACCTTGCTGTCATTCTTCCCGAGTGAGGCCCTCATCTAGGGCAGGCAGTGCCTCCAGCCCCGGTCCCCCACCACCCTGGCTGCTGGAGAAGGACACCATGGTATGGAGGAGCATGAGAACAAGGACATAGAGCCGGATCCTGCTGGGGCCGAGGCGGGAGCCCCCAGAGACCGGCAGCAGGGAGGGCTTGTGGCTGATGTGGCCTGGGGGGTCGTGTCGGGGGTGGTAATGGTGGTACTGTTGGTGGTAGTGGTGGAAATAAGAGTGGTGGAATTGCTGGTGGTGGGTTTTGGGGGCTTCAGACTCCTTGAACTTCTTCTTCTCCGACTCACAGGAGACCCACTGCACGTCACAACACTTGGTTTCCGGCCGCTTGGGCGAAGTGTCCAGCAACCCTGTCAATGGATAAGGAAGGTGGGGGTGGGGTGCTCAAGGCGCTGCCGGCTATGCCTTTCCGAGAGAGATCTTCAAAGCTGGGGCTGCTCGGGTCACCCTGCCCAAGACTCGGGTCAGTCTGCCCCCTAGCACCTTCCCTTTCTGGACAGGGACCAAGGACCCCAGACAGTTTCTCGGGGATTACTCCCTGGCCAGGCATGTTCTGGTTGGAGACGGCCATTCTGTTCTTTACCCCATTCCACTTAGCACTGTCCCAACATGGGGGCCTCATTACCTGCTCCTCCAGCCACCAACCTTCTCCTGACCCGGCTTCTCTGTTGTCCTCCTTGCTCCTACACCCCCCAACCCGGTGCCTGCCCTGCTCCCCGCCCCCAGCTTCTCCCTCCTCCCCAATGCCCTGCCTTTACCTGTACAGATAAAGCCAGGGAGCCCTCCATACACCATTTCCTCATTGTCAGGGAGTATAAAGGGGCACCGGGTCTGCACCTCCAGGCAGTATTGCTTGCAGGGCACCCAGCGCTGGCATTCCTGCTGGGTCACGCTGAAGTATTCTGAGCACAGCCAGGCCTTGTAGACAGCCTGTGGGGAGAGGAAAGAGCGTCAGCCCAGGTGCCAGCCCCTTCCCAGCTCAGAGAAAAGGGATGAAGAGGGGTCCACCTGTACTCTATTGGGGGAGGGTGCAGTGTGCTCACCAACCCAACCCCAGGATCCAGGGTGTGGAGCAGAAGGGTTTGGGACAAGACCATTACCTCCTACCCTAAGTTCTCTAATCTCATCTCCAGAACTCCTGAGTCCCCCAGTTTGAAGTCATTCAAGACTTGTTCATTGGTTCATTGGTTCATTGGTAAAATTACAAAATTACTCTTATGTCAAAGCTGGAAGACCATCTCATCCAACCGTACCATTTTACAGTTGGCCCCAAGAGATGTCCTGACTTGTCGGAGGTCACCTGTATTGAGGTAAATTTCAGTTATGTTCAATTCAGCAAACATCCCTTTTGGCTGATGGCATTAAGTTTCCAAATTCAGGAAGGAGATAGAGAGAATAATCTTTGTTCTACCTCATTAGGGTGCTGTGTGGATCAAATAATATGACACATCTGAAAATGTTTTGCTAGCTCTCAAGTGCAATACACATATAAGGGGTTATGTTTAATAAAAAATGGGAATCTGCCTTACCAAGCACCACAGGTGCCTTCAAGCTCTACTTAATCCATGTTCTGTCCAGTTGGCTTCTGTGCTGGAGTGGAGCAGAAACCACATTTCGTTTGTAAACTCCTTCACTGGTATACTTATCTTGTCTAGCCCACTCCTACCAGGCACTGTGTCTTAGCTAAGAAATGGTCCCTGCTCTATACTCTTTGGCTATCATCAAGACTAGAGTTTCTCAACAGCAACACAACTGACACTGGATTGGATGATTCTTTGTAGTGGGTGCTGTCCTGTGCATTGTAGAATATTGAGCAGCATCCCTTGCCTCTATCCAGTAGTTGCCAGTCACATCCTCCCCAACCCCACTGTGACAACCAAAAAAATGTCTTTGGACATTGCCAAATGTCCCTGGGGGAGGGGGCAAAATCACCTCCCATTGAGAGCCACTGATGTAGCTCCTTGCTACTGAGAATGTAGACCTAGACTGGCAGCATCTTCATCACCTAGGAGCTCGTGAGAAATGCAGCATCCCAGCCCCCGCCCTAGACCTGCCAAGTTACACCTGCATTTTAACAAGCTTCCCAGGCAACTTTCACACGTGGGGATAGAGCCCTGCCCACATCTAGTGCTCATAGCTTCTGGGGTACCTTCCCATAGTGGCTCCTTAGAGCAATGGTTCTCAGACTTCATTGTGCCCCAGAATTCCCTTGGGACACTTGTTAAATATGCAGATGACATCCTCAAAATTCAGCTTCAAGAGGGTTGAGGTGGACTCAGGAATCATTTTGAACAAGGGTCCAAGTCATTCTGCTGCCAGAGGCCTTTCAACCACACTCTGAGCAGTGTGCTCAGAGCTTCTTACACAGACTTTAAGCATTTACACTAAAATGCAAGGAACTCCACCAGGAACATGGACTTTGGCAAAGCAAGGGCAGGGGGGTGGTGATGGGTGGTGGTGGGTTGTGATGAAAATCAACCCCCTGAGGAACAGAGCTTTGATATCTCACTGGCATCTCAAACTTAGCATGCTGTAAATCTTAAAATTCAGTTCTTTTGTACTCCAAATCTGACTGCACCACACCTTGACCACTTCAGTTAAGGGCCACAATTCTCCACCTGGGTATTCAAGCCAGAAACCTAAGTGTTAGCATTCCTTTCTCTCTCTGCCTGCATCTCTGCACACAGTCCATCAGCAAGGCGCGATTTGTCCCTCCACTTTCACAACTCTGTGCAGGCCATGGTCATCTGTCACCTGGACAAAATTATCCTATGAGGCCTCTCCGCCTCCACTCTTGTTCTTTCCAATCCACTGTTTCCACAGGAGTAAGAGTGATCTCAAAATGACATCTAACTCTGTTTTTCCCTTGCTTCAAACCCTTAAATGCATTGAAAATAAAACCCAAACTTTCGACCCCAGACTTCACGCCCTGCATAACTTGGCCCCTGTCTGTCTCTCCAACCTCATTTTCTACCTCTCCCTTCAAGCTCATCCTGCTCCACACAGAGGTTTTCTCTCTTTTCCTTGAACCTGTCCTACTTCTCTTCACCTTGGGGCCTTGGCACATGCTGTTCTCTCAGCCTGGAATGCTCTTCCCCTCACTTTTGGGCTGGTTGGGTCCTTCTCAACTTTGAAGCCTCAGTTCAAATGTTACCTCCTCAGAAAGGTCTCCCTGGCCACTTGAGCTAGAGCATGCCGCCTTCATTCTTCTTCTTCTTAACTATTTCTTCACCAAAAATATGACTTTGTCTGCATCCTTCTTTTGTTTTTCTGTCCACCTCACTAAAATGCATGAAAGCAGATGTGGGTCTGTCTCATTGACCACTGTGTACTCAGTACAATGTATGTTAAAAGAAAAAAGTCTGTTGATTGCATGAACCAGAGGAGTAAAAGAGGACATGCCCCTATTCTCAGAGAAATTCCAGTTTCATGGATAGACAGATCTAACTTGAAACTATGGCACATAATCTATATTATAGGAGAAGTTAAACCCTTGGCCATTGGAGGGAAGCAAACAGAAAAGCAGGGAAAGATTTCAGTGAGGGGATAACAGTCGAGTTGGGACTCAAATTAGGATTTTAGATGGGGTGGGCAGAGATGAGACAAAAGGGCATTCCAGACTGAGGCAACAGCTTAACCAAAGATATGGAGATGAGTATGTGCATGGTGCGCTAAAAAGAACAGAGAATGGTTTTGTATGAATGAAGTGCAAAGGGTACCAATCTCCTGTGGATGGAGGTTTAAGTGATTTCCAGGTTTTTGCTATTATAAACAAGGTTTTGGTGGACAGCTCTGTACACATCTCTTGCACACTTGTGTTAAATTTTATGTATATAAAGTTCGAAGTGAAATTATTGGGATAAAAGTTGCGTGCAAAGGAGTGAGAATGGAGTGAAAGGAGTGGGGAAAGGACCAAGTGAAGGTAGAAGGCAGGGAAAGAAGGAGCTGGAGGGATAGGAGAGGGCCTCATGGGTTGGAGAGAGTGGCAGTGGGGTCTGGGAGCACAAGGGAGGAGGGTAGTCAGAAAGAAAGGGTAAGAAAGAGTAGGGAGTTAGAGGATGAAAAATGGTGGTAATAGTGGGGGTAGGGAAAAAAGGAGGGTTGAGGAGGAAGCAGGAGAATAAGACACAGAGGGTGTGAGGGAGGTAAAGAGGTGCAGTGAAGGTGAGAGAAGACAAAGGGTAAGAAAGAATAGGAGGATAAGAGGGTGGGGGCATGAGAGATGTAAGAGGGGCTGTGAAGAGGATAGGTCACAAAGAGGGAGTAGGAAAGATGAGGGTTTATAACCTATAATGAAAAGAGTATGCAAAAGAATGTGGGGGAGCGTATAGCTCAGTGGTAGAGCACATGCTTAGCATACACGAGGTCCTGGGTTCAAGCCCCAGTACCTCCATTAAAATAAACAAACAAACAAATAAACAAAACCTTATTACCCCCTAAAAAACACACAAAAAATTTTAATTCAAAAAAGAAAAAACACATATACGTATAGCTGAATCATCATGCTGTACACCAGAAATTAATACAACACTGTAAATTGACCATACTTCAATTTAAAAATTTTTTTAAATTAAAAAAGATGAGTATTTATAACCTTAATGAAAAAGAATATGAAAAAGAATATATATATGTATAACTGAATCACTATGCTGTACACCAGAAACTAACATAGTATTGTAAATCAATTCTACTTCAATAAAAAAAATTAAAAATAAAAAAAGAAAGATGAAGGTTTAAGAGTGAGCAGGGGAATAAAGGTGGGTGAGGAAGATGGGAGCAGAGGAAAGCAGGGGTAAGAAAGAAGGATAAGTGAGCAGAAGTATGGGAGGAGAAAGAAAGAAAAGTGAGGCAGGAAACAAAAGGAAATCCTTAGCGCTAAAAGCCCCAGTATCTCAGAGACCTCCTTCCATCTTGTGGGCCTCAAAGTGCCAAGAGGAGTCTCTGTCCACATCCTTTGCCCCAACCTCTGCATCCTGGACCCAGGTTGAGCCTCAACCCTTGGCCCAGACTGTGTGGAATAGCCCACTCCTCCACTGCTGGGGTTCTGAGGCCCCTGTGGGATCCTCCATGGGCTCTTCTAGTTCAATATTTCCACTTCCAGCTGAAGAGGCTGCACTAGGGGGTCCAGCCCTTCTCCCAGGCAACTGCAATGAGCCTAATAACAAGCTCTGGTGGCTGAGGGCTCCCTTCCTCTGCTCTGGGAAAGAGGGAGGGAGTTGAGAGAGGCAGGGCGAGGAGAGGGGGGCTTGACAGTGTGAGTGGGACCTTCCTCCTTAATTAGATGACCCTCTCTCAAGCCCCACACCCCCAACCAGAGTCACCATGGCAATGAGTAGGTGAGCAGATTGCATGAGGAGGACACCAGGCCTGTGGGTGGCGAGGCAGGAACAGGCCAGGAGCTAATGAGGGGAATGGAGGAAGAAGAATGACACAAGGCTGAGAGGTAATCCAGTTCCTCAGCCCCACAGATGGCCAGCTGAGGCCATTTCTGGCCCATGTGCTTCAGAGGTGGCCCAGCGTCCTTCCTGGGTAAAAAATCTGGCTCTCAATGCTACCACCTGGGCCACAAGCCTGCCTTAGTCGCTGCAGCCATCTTCCTTGGATGGGCATAAGTCGTGGGCCCTGTCACATCAGTTAAGACTTGGGCAGTCAAAGGGGGCCTGGGCATTCATCATCAAAGGTGTGAAGGAGCCAGGAGAGCCCGGGTTGGGAGTACTGAGAGGCTGGCTGCAGGTCAGGCAGGTGGGGTGAAGGAAGAGATGTCTCTAAATCAGACAACAGTCAGTTGGGACACCCTTGGAGATCTTTTGCTCTAGTTTCTCAATTCTGGCTGCATATGAGAATCACTCAGAGAGTCTTTTGTAAAGGCTCCTGCCTGGCTCACATCACATTCCAGACCAAGTCCATCAGAATCCTTGTGGGTGGGGCCC